CTGCAGACAGGAGACAGGTAGGGGCCCCCTACAGAGGGATTGTTACTTCCTGAGCTAGAGTTCACCCTGAGGCATCAAGGCAATCCTTAAGGGTATATCAAATTCTTGCATTTTGGAACCCCTCCCTCCTGGGTCAAAGACAAGGTTTTCAATAGAAAGAGCATGGTGGCTTCATTTACAAGGAATTCCTTTTATGATTTGCTTCCCCTGATTATCAATAAATACACAGAGAAACATAACTTGGGGTCTTCAGTCTGGAACTGCTGGCCCCCTGTTTTATACTCTCTGTTCTATCTCATTCCTGGCTGTCTGTATCATTAATAATAATTATAAAAATACTCTACCCTCGGTCTGCAACATTCATTGTGTTTCACACTATTTTTCATTCACATTGTGGTTTCATACAATTATTCCCATTCATTTTCTTATATAGAATTAATTAACATTGAACTATGTCTATATAGAATTAATTAACATTGAACTATGTCTACTATCACTCTGTCTTTCCAGATTCCTGCTGGATCTTTCCAATTTCCTTTACCCATCCTTCCTCTCATCAAATTGTGTGACCCTATGCTTTTTGGTTGCCCATCCTCACCCCTTTGTTTCTACATTCCACCCCTTGTGATGTTATACACGTTTTAGTAGTTTCCTTATTTTTCTACAATAATTGTCTTTGTACAGTATTTGTTCTAATTAGTGTGAATTAGTTCACTCAGCCTAATGGTCTCCAGGCCCTCCTAAATTAGGTAGTAAGTTACCAAATCATTGTTCCTGAGTGCTACATAGTATGCCATTGTGTGAATGTACTACATTTTCTCAATCCATTTGATTGTGGTTGGACATTTTGGCTTTTTCCACGTTCTTGGGATGGTGAATAGTGTTGCTATGAACATTGGTGTATTAATTTCCATTTGTGTCTCAGTTCTAGGGAGTACTGGTGACCTACTGGCAAGAAGCTGCACTGCAATCCTAAAGGCAAGTGGTTTGGATCCACCAGCTGCTCTGTGGGAGAAGGATGGACAATCTCCTCCCGTGTGGTTAACTGACTCTGAAAACCCACTGAAAGGTCAGCTATGGGTCAGTTTTGACTCGACAGTACTCATCAGCAACACCAACATATACTTAGCAGTGGAATAGCTGGGTGATATGGAAATTCTATGTTCAATTTTTTTAGGAAATGCCAAACTGCCTTCCAGAGTGGTTGTACCATTTTACAATCCCACCAACAGTGTATGACAGTTCCTGTCATGCCACATCTTCTCCAACATTTAGTGCTTGCTGTCCTGTTAAACTTTGTTACTGCTACTGGGGTGAGATGGCATCTCATTGTGGTTTTGATTTGCATCTCTTGTATTGTCAGTGTCAAAATTACAAGTTTAGAGGTCAGAAAGAAAATAAGCATGACTGAACAACTGTCTTGACTGAAAGTTGTATCTTAATTGTTCTTGGCCTAAATTGTAACTTGTTAACTTTCATAGTGTGTACATGTTAGAATTGTGAGTATTTTCTGATACCTATGAGACTATTACAACAGGTTATTAGAACCAGTAGTGGAGCAGTGATAGATCCGGCAGAAACAATTACTGTTAGAATGATAGACATAAGTGAGGAAGCACAGGGACACGTGCAATAGAATGAAACAATTCTATGGTCGAGATGTTGACATGGAACCTTTCACTTTTGGAGTGGGTCGATGTTAGCCACAATCATCTGCATACTGGCTACATTAATTTTACAGTCTCTAAAAATAATCTCTTTCAACAGTGAAGGAATTGGTCAGTGACTCATTTGAAATATATAAATCTCAAGTTCATTGTTGTGTTGGTGTCTAAACCTGTGGATTTTCAGGGTTATAAATGTATGTGTGTGTGTGTGTGTGTGTGTGTGTGTGCACGTGCGCGTGTGTGTATGTTATGTGCCATCGAGTTGCCTGTAACTCATAGCAACTCCTATATACAAAAGCTCAAAATTCTGCTCTATCCTGCGTTGTCATATTGTTTCTGATACACCTACCTGCCCCCAACCCCAATTAACCCAGTCACTGAATCAACCCATCTCATCTAGAGTCTTCCTCTCGTGCATTGTCCCACCACCCTTCCAAGTATGGCATCCTTTTCCAAGGACTGATCCTGCCTTGCAACATGTCCAAAATGTGTCAGACAAAGCTTCAGAATCCTTGTGTTCAAGGAACAGCCTGGCTTCACCCTCTCCAGAACAAACGTGTTTGTTCTTCTATCCATCCATGATATATTCAATACTCTTCTCCAGCACCACAGTTCAAAGGCATCAATTATCTTTCTGTCATCCCTAGTCATTGTCCAACTTTCTGATGCATAGCAAGTAATTGCAAAGACCATGCCCTGTATCAGGCACACCTTAGTTTCCAGACTGAAATCACTGCTCTTTACTACTTTGGAGAGGTCTCTTACAGCAGACTTTCCCAGAGCAATCCGTCTTTTAATTTCCTGGCTGCTGGTATCAAGAGTGTTGATTTTGGAGCCAAGCAAACTGAAGCTGTTAATAATCTCAATTCTTCACCATCTGTCATGATGCTGCCAATTGGCCAAATGGTGGAAAACTTTGTTTTCTTGATGTTGAGCTTTAATCCATATTGAAGGCTAAAGTTCTTTTTTTTTTTATTTGTTTTTTCAGGGGATAGCGTGCACGCAGTCCCCCACTACCACAAATTATGCAGTCGAGTTTCCCGCATTTGGGAAAATCGCAGGGGTCAGCACACCCCAAGTGCAATGGGTGAGCCTCATCCTGGGAAAACCACCTGCCTGATCATGGTGTTTCCTCTGCCAGGTAAGTATGAAGGCTAAAGTTCTTGATCCTCTGAAGCAAATGCTTCAGGTCCTCCTCAGTTTCAGCAAGCAGGGTTGTGTCATCTGCATAATGCAGATTGTTGATGAGTCTACCTACAATCCTGGTGCCACATTTCACCTCATAGAGCCCAGCCTCCTGAACAATCTGTTCCACATATAGAATGAAAAGATATGGAGATAGGATACATCCTTGGCACACAGCCTTCCGAATTTTGAACCATGCAGTGTTTCCTTGCTCTGTTCTGATGACTGCCTCATGGTTCAAGCATAGGGTTCACAAATGCATAATCAAGTGTTCTGAGATTCCCATCCTTCTCAAAGTTGACCACAGTTTGTTGCGATCTACACAGTCAAATGCCTTTGCATAGTCAATGAAACACAGACAGACATTCCTCTGGTAATCTCTACTTTCAGCCAAGATCCATCTGACATTAGCTATAATATCCCTAGTACCACGACCTCTTCTAATCCCAACCTGCCCTTCATATAGTTCTCTGTTGATGTGTTCTTCAGTCGTTTTTGGATAATCTTCAGCAAAATCTTGCTTGCATGTGATATCAATGATACAGCTTGATAATTTCTACATACTGTTGGGTCACTTTTCTTTGGAATGGGAACAAATACAGACCTCTTCCAGTCAGTTGGCCCAGCTGTTGTCCTCCAGATTTCTTGACACAACTTGGTGAGTGCATCCAGGGCAGTATCTGTTTGTTGAAATATGTCAGTTGGCATGCCATCAATTCCTGAGGCCTTGTTTTTTGCCAGTTCTTTCAGAGCAGATTGAACTTCTCCCTTCATCACCACGGGCTTTTGCTTATACATTGTTTTTGTTGTTTTTTAAAGAACACTTGACTATGTTAATTAATACCATGCCATGCCGTACATGAACATTATCACAACTCTACTCCTGACTGAGGATGAATTTTTTCTCAAGACCTAAGAACAGAAAATAAGCTAGAGTACTTTCTTGCTAGGTCCAGTTTATCCTAGAATATGATGGACTGGTGTTGGTATCCAAATCATTTGCTAATTAAATGCCAATTAAGCCACCAGAGACCTTTTTTTCATTATAAAACCTTAAAAACTCAAATTCATTGTTGAGTCAAAAACAATGCATAGTATAACAGTTATTCAGAGGCTACAAATTTCCCAGAAGATTCTCTTTCTTTAGGAAGTGAAATATTTTAGGAAATATAATTTCTATTTTCCAGATTCATTTTATGCCTATTAAATAAAATTTTTAAAGTAGACTTAGATTGTGGTTATTTTTTTGCCCATTTCATTTTTAAAGTAATCTTTATTATATTTTATAGATGATAAAACCAAGATTGAATTAATTTTAAAAACTATAATCCTTCACTCTTCATAATAAGAAATACTGTAAAATTGATAAGAAATATTAAAGTAAATTGTGTTGCACCATCATCCAAGTTTTATTAATAATCAAGATATGTGTACATACTTCTGTTCACTTACTAATTGAACTTGATGCATCAGAAATGTGATTTTTTTTTCTTTATAGATTGGCAAATAAGAAGAAATAATACTGTGCTTGTCTAGATTACTAGATTCTGTATCAGAGATAGTAGTGTTGAAAAGATACCAGGAAAATGCTATGGAGTTGGAAAAGAGAATGATGTAAGCCATAATGATAAGCAGAATTTTTATTCTTTTTTTACAAAAAAATTTCAATGCAGGGTAGTAAACCTGAGGTTTACATATTCCTGGAGGAATATATATATACTCTAGAATACGTAGAAGAGTAATGTCTATTAATAAACCAAATTGTAATGGGTAGAGTGACAACATTCATTGTAGATACATTGGTAGGAATTTACATTTCATAGCTTTCATAAAAAGCTTGACAGAAATTAAACAAATATAGAATACACAGTATTTGTTTCCCCAATTGCTTTCTCAACTTTGGATTCTGCCTACAAGACAGGAACACAGGAGTGCAGAATAAAATTTTATGTTTGTTTTCTGAAGCATCAGGCCATAGAACATACAGAAGAGACTGAAAGGAGGGTCTGTAAGAGGGAAGAAGAGATTGGAGATAAATCTGAGTTTGGGAGCAAGTATTCTTTTCTTGGAGGAGAATTGAGGACTATTTCATTCTAGGTCTCAAATCCATGATGATCAGCCAGTCTCATCTTCTAAGTTTCAATTGTTTTAATTCTTGAATTTGCAGACATAGGGTAACTTCTGCTCACAGTCAATTTCTTTCCATTTCAGGTAATCTGGAGAGACACAGAGGGAATGTGAACGGGACTGGTAAAGATTGTACACATAGTTGGGACACACTCCATAATTTCTCCTGAAATTCAAAGTCTCTTAATCATCTTCTCTAATGCTACATTCAGGTGGAGATGATGCAAATAAAGGAGAAGTGAGAATGGGAAATATAAAGTCAATTTTATCAAATAGAGATTTGTACATCAATATTCATTGCAGCATTATACATGATCGCAAAAACAGAAATAGGCCAAATGTACAAGCACAATCAAATGGATTGAGAAATTGTGATACATTCACATGATGAAATACTATGAAGCACTCAGGAGCAACGATTTTAAAAATTACTACATAACTTGGGACTGGAGAGCATTTATGCTGAGTTAATGAACTCAGTGTCATAAGAACAAATATTGACCATTATTGTAGAAAACTAGTAAAACATGTATAAGGGTATAAGGAGGGGAAGGAGAGAGCAAAGCTGTGAGCAGTTGGGGGGGGGTTATCATAAGGTCGTGCAGTTTGGTGGGTGGAGAGAAGAATGGGTAAAGGAAATGGGAAAGATTTGGTGGGGGTCTGGAAAGACAGGGTAATGGTGGGAATATTTCAGTGATACTTAATTTAATAAAGTATAATGAATGGGAATGATTATATGAAACACAATGTGAATGAAGAATAGTGTGAAGCACAATGCATATGAACTTTGTAAGCAAATAAATAAGAAATACATATTTAAACCCAATGTTATATTTTTCAACAATGAATTTTCAAACATGAGCATTTCCTGCAGGTCTGGTCATAATTGAATGGGAAGGGAGAGGAACAATGAGCTCTGCTCTTACTTGTTTTTTGATACAGGCTTCCACAGTAACCGAGTTTATTTGTGCCAGTAGGAAGACTATCCCAAGCCTGATAAGTCATCAAGTCCCTGCTACTCCATACCCATCCTTCTGCATTGGGTTCAGAGCCCTGTAGAGTAAAAAGGGGAAAAAGCAGTTTAGGAATTGCATGTTTAGCCATCTTTGCATGATTCCTTTAGCTAGAATGCCTGGTCCTCTCTCCAGCATCATAGAATTTATCCTGCTACCCTAATACATGGGCTTTACCTAGGTACTAAGACTATTTCCTCGGAGAAGCTATCCTTTAAAATGCTTTTTTTTTCTTATGAAATTTATACCTATGGTCAATGGAAGCCCCCAAAGCAACAGGTTATAACTGAACAATAATTGGTAACACGTTTGTGATTATACAAGTATCTACTCTACATGAGCCAAAACATCTTTTCTTCATGTAACCTATCCTCAGCACCATATGCTAGCATAAAAGAGGCATATTAGCCTCAGCTGCTGACCAGAAACTATGTAAAACTCAGCACTTCAGCTGACTTCAAATCCCTTCCTTTGTGTCCCCAGGATTTCTGAGTTCTTTTAAGTATTTCCTAGACAGACACAAGCTGATGAAAACAGCCATTTGAAAGATAAGAGGGATGGGAAAATTCAGTCGTACCTGTGTGGGGTCGTAGAGTCCAATCCAGATGTTTGTATAGGTAGTTGAAGTGCTCTTTACCAGAGAAGCCACAAAAGATCCCTCAAATGAATTGAGCACAGATACTAGGTTTCCATCTGGGTGTTTCTGGCAGGCTAACTGTGTGAGGAAAGCGATACAGAGAAATAGATGAGACTTCTCTGGAGGATACACTGGGTGGAGGTAACTGAGAAGGTTGATGTGCAAAGAGATGTAGGTGAACATATTGACAACCAAAGAATGAAAAGACTCCCCCTCCATATGACTCCTATTCCCACATCAAACTGCATACATTCGCTGCCATCCAAGTTTTGGCGTTCAGAAACACAGCATAGCAGTGGGAATCATAAGCTTTGGAGCCACTGGGACAGCTGATTCTTTTAGAGGGTTGTTCTAACTGAAAGTCTTCCCCTGTGATGGAAGGAACATAAAGTAAAACAACAAAGTAGTGATTCAAGAAGAGGAGATGAGGTTGTAACATTAGAAAAGTGTCTTTGAAGCCAATTATTAGGAAATTCTTCACACTTGTGGCTACTTCTTACATTTATCAACTCTTTCAGGATTTCATAACCTTGAAGAAGCCCTTTTAAATGAAAAATCACGTCTCTTTTGCATCTTCCCCCATTCTTTAATGTTAAAATATTCTTGGATGATTGTCTCTAAGTTGGAACTTCTCTATTTATTCTTCGTGCATTATCTCTGTGCCTTCCAACATTATTTTGAGTCTGTAGACATAATAGGAAGGTACCTTATTTCTACTATTAATAAATAACCTTTGTACATTCCACAAGTAGCAAAGTAGTAATGATGGGAGAATTAGAGATATTATCATGTGAAAACATATCTCACCATTACTACATGTGTCCCATAGATGACTCTCTCCTATCCTTAGCCTTATACACTCACAAGGAATATGGTGCTAGAGGCAGGGAAATCTTACCTTGAACCCAGGATTGGAGCATTAAGCAGGAAAGCAGTATCCAGAACATGCAGGGGAAGGTCGTGGAAAGCAGCATCATGTCTATGTGTTGAGAATACAGTCAGATAATAGAAAGGTTATTAGAAAACAAAAAATTCATGCAGAAATACCATACCCCTACCCGAACCTACCTTCCCTGTCCTACCACTTAATTTTTTCTTGGAATCTCCTAAGGAATAATCATTTGTTTCTATAGTTCAAAAAATAATTAAGAAATCTGAACACCACCACCCCCAACCTCTGAAGTGAGTTCCATATTTCTGCAGTGCCTACTTATCTGTCTTTCAGGGCTTTGGAGTATTTTCTGGTCACAAGAAAGACTGAGCTTTTATAAGATAATTTGAAGGGGGAGCAAAGAAACAACTGGGTGTACGTGTAGGTGGCACAGAGATCATGTGGGAAGATTTGGCCTGGGTTCCAGGAGATTACTGCTATGGGAAACAAACTTTTCCCATCAAAACCTGGGAACTGGACAGATGTTACTTCTTGTAAGCAAACCAGTACTTTCCCCAAGAACACATGGAGTCTGGCCTTTCCAAAGCACTCTTTGATATCAGGAGTCTGTGGCACCAAAAGGTATATTAAATATTTTAAAGTAATCCAAAGGATAGTTTTTCTTACTGATGTCTCAAAAAACTCAACTCAGTATATTTGCTCAGTATATTTCTACCTTATAGAGTACAATTGAATTAATTAATGCTGGATAATAAGTGAGTACAGGAATAATAAATAGAACAAATAGTTAAAGACCTTCATTGAACTGAAATTAAGATTAGGAAAAATGATTAAGTGTTGCTACTTACACATTAGCAGCACAGATTTTTTTGGGGGGGATCTGTGATCTGATAAGTGTACAGATGAGTCAAAATCTTAAGGAAAATCAGAAGCATATACTTGCTTGAGTATTCTTCTAGGACATAGTGATTGTGATTGGGTTGATTTTTTACTTATGGTAACAAATTAAGAATTAAAGTAGAATTGCACTACATAAGATTTTCTGTTGCAGATAAAGTATTTTTATAATTATTAAAAATGAAGCTATTTTTGTTATTCCATATCACTCCTCCCTGAGAGAGATTTCACCCTGATTCATTAGGAAAGGGGGCACAGAATTCTCTTAGCTACTTCTTGCTGAAAAGGGACACTGTAGGTCTCAGGGTGAAGATCTTCTCTCACTACTCTAAAGAGCCCCTTTAGCAATAGGAAACACATAGACTATTGTGGAGATTGATTTTGGAATTTAGATGCACTGTTATGAATTGTACTTAGGGGTACAGGTTAATATCCTTGGAGATGCATCATTTTAACATGGAACTGTTGCAGCTTAGAAGACACAAATTTAACAAGTTAAAAGTACATGGGTCAAAAATTAAAATCAATAATATTCCAATTAGAGGGTCTAAGAGTGGCACAAACCAAGTTACAGAGGGATGATAGTTCTAAAATAAAAGGCTTATTGGCTGGCATTTTACCTATTATAGTATAAGGGCTAGGAACCACAAGATGTATAGGCACAACTATGTCATTTTATTGTTCTTAAGTCCTGGACCAAATTCCTTCTATCATTGGGTTGTTTTACAGCTAGGAAGTCCACATGCAAGGCAGAAGCAGAGTAAAGAACTGCTTATGAGGTTTTCCATCAATTTCAACAACTAAGAAATAGGGGGATGAGAGTGGACCGGAGAAGGCTTGTAGGACCCAATAATAGGCTCCTATGTTCGGGAGAAAACGGATATACTTACCAGCAATGTTAATTCTCACCCATGGCTCTTCTAGGAGGACCTAAATTGTTGAAGTGTCCTCCTTTGTTTCCAGCTGGGAGCCAGGGCCTGTCAGTCCTGTCAGCCATGAGGACCTGATGTGGGATGCCCTTGGCCAAGTGTCCTTCAGATCCACACTTAAAGCAAGTGAGTGGGAGTTTCCGTTTTACCCCCTTGCTTACCTGTGTTTCTTGCTTGTGACACTGTTGACTGAAGTGGCCCAGCTTTCCACAGTGGGAGCAATTCTGACCTTCTTTTGTTGCCTTTGAGTGGCATTGTTTATGAGTAAGACTTCCTTTTTCTAACACAGGCCCAAAACTGCCAGCAATAGCTGTCCCAATAATTTTGGCCATTCTCTGGTCTTTTGTCTTCCCTCTAGATCCCAGTTGTTAAAAGAGGGAAAAATTTAAACAAATATATAAAAATAATTTTGAACAATATAGTATTTTAAGTTTAAGTCCAGTAACATTATCAATGTGATTATATGAATAATTTCCAATCCAAAGAGATACATGTTTCAATGCAGTTCTTATTTTTTCATAAATGTTTTTGGTAGAAAAATACTGTAAATGTGAATACAGTTCCTCTATTCCTCCTCCATGCCATGATATAGTGTTATTGGCATGAATGGTTATAAATCCATTGCCTTCCTTACACTAACTTAAATTTTTGACGTTTCTATGCTGACAAGTGGAACTAAGAAGGCTTCAAACATGACGCTTCTATAGGAAGTATTAATTAAAAGTCAACTTTGCTTTTCTCAACATTGTTTCCAATGTATCCATTCTCTAAGAAAAATAAAGGAAGCAACTGACAGGGAGGAATATCAGGGTAACCTGAACTTGTGTATCTCCATGAAAAATATACCCTTGAAACATCTACGACAGAGAGATATTACTACCCAAAACTTTATAAAGCCAATGAACTACTTTTAACACGGGAGTATTAGAAATACATGCTCAATAGCTGGTATTATTTGCCATTCTGCAGCTTCACCCTCCTCCAAGTGTGGCCTCTTTTGACTCATCTCAGGTTTTCACATTTCTGGAGGGCACCCACAGCATTACTGAGCCTGTAGAGATAGAAGCAAATCTTCAACCCCACCTAATAACAAATCCCTTTTCCCGTTCATCTTTCAGCTGAGTTTCTCCTTTTTCATTAGTATTTTAAAAATTGGAATTAAATAAGGCTTTTGTAAAATAGTTTCAGGATATGATGTCCCATCCCCCCTTCTGCTTTTTCAACATAGTTTGTAAAGTCAGAGTAGCCCTTTCTATTATACTTGTCCTGCAATAACATAACAGCATATAATTCAGCCTGTTGATCAGAAGTCAAGTCAGTTTTAACAACTTTATTATCTTTTCCATTAGTATAACCATCTAAACTGATAGTATCCAATTAGTCCCTTTACCTGATTTCTTTATTATTACAAACACTGCAAAGTTCCAAGAACTAGTGGCTTAATATGACCGGCTAGATACTGTTCTTAAACTAATTGTTCTAAGACTTCTTAGAATTTTTTTCTACTTAAGGGCCGCTGCTCCACCCAGACAGTTTTTTCTGTTAGCTAAGGGGAGAACATGAGGAACAATGAACCTTATTATAAATTTGGTTTTTGAAAATGAACAATCCCCTGTTTCTTTTTATTGAGCATCTTATTTTTAGCTGGAGTTGAAATAGTGGGAATTTGTAATGTTACTTTTCACTTGTAATATAAAGATCTGCATTCATTAGTCCAATGATGTCCTTTTCCACATTTTCTACAAAGACTTGAAGGCATGGATTTTTTCTTTACATCTCTACTCTCCTTTCTTTCTTTCTTTCTTTCTGACAATCTCTCTTCAAATGTCCTAATTTTTCACAAAGGTAACATTTGGTTTGAGACAAATTTAAAATTCCTTTTAAAGCAGCAGTTATTAGATTGGCTTAATAAGAACTTGTACCAATGTCCATACAAGCATGTATATATTCATCTAGGGAGCATTGTGAACTTTCAATGCCTTTTGACATTCTGAATAAGCATTTTTATACGCTAAAATTTTTAACAAAAGCTCAAGAACCTTGGGTTGAGATACTGCTCTGTCAATTGCATCCTTTAATCTAGAAAGAAAATCAGTGTATTTTTTCATTTTCATTTTCATATTGTGTTGTTCTGATAAAGGATTGATATCCCTTTTCTGAAATTTCTACTTTATCCAAGGCTTGCATACAGCCAAGTCTTTCTTGTACAATCATAGCATCTTCATATTTTAACTGAGCTTGTACTCCAAGCCATTGACCTTTCCCCAAAAATTGATCAGCAATTAAGAGGAGGATTTCTAGATAAATTAATTCTCTCCATATTTGTAGCTTCATCAGTCAACCAAGTTCTAAACTGTAAATATGCTCCAGATTCTAAAACCATCCGTACCATGGACTCCCAATCATAAGGAATTAATCTAAATTCTGTAGCTAATCCTTGTAATATGCCTCTTACATAGGTAGAATGCATACCATAAGCAATTATGACTTGCTATAATTCTTTGTTGTTGTTATGTGTCATCGAGTCATTTGCGACTCATAGTGACCCTATGTACAACAGCCCTAAACCCTGCTCTATCTGTGCCAATCTCATTGCCTCTGACACACCCATCCCAATTACCCCAGTCACTGAATCAATCCATCTCATAGAGGGTCTTCCGCCTCCTGTGCTGTCCCTCCACCCTCCCAAGCATGATGTCCCCCTCCAAGGACCTGTCCCTCCTTGTAACATGCCCAAAATATGTCAGACAAAGCCCCAGAATCCTTGCCTCCAAGGAGTAGCTTGGTTTGACCCTCTCCAGGATGAATATATTTGTTTGCTTGGCAGTCCATGATACATTCAATACTCTTCTCCAGCACCACAGCTCAAAGGCATCAATTCTCCTTCTGTCCTCCCTAGTCATTGTCCAACTCTCAGATGCATAACAAGTGATGGCAAAGACCATGGCCTGTATCAGGCACACCTTAGTCTCCAGAGAGACACCGTTGTTCTTGAGTACTTTAGAGAGGTCATTAACAGCAGACTTTCCCATTGCAATACGTTTTTTGATTTCCTGACTGCTGGTGCCAAGAATGTTGACTGTGGAGCCGAGCAAACTGAATCTGTGAACAACCTCAATCTCTTCGCCATCTATCTTGATGCTACCAATTGGTCCAGTGGTGAGAATCTTTGTCTTCTTGACATTGAGCCTTATTCCACACTGAAGACTGCAGTCCTTGACCCTCTGCAGCAAGTGCATGAGGTTCTCCTCGGTTT